ACCGTGCCTGTGTATCCCTTCCCCTTAAAGGCTTCGGCTTAGAACACAGAAAACCAGAGTTGCCGAGAGATAGTTTGGCAGAAAAGACGTTCTGACCTCTCGTCCTCCACTAAGTACAAGCCTTGAATAGAGGGAGAGATTTGAAGGTGTTAGCGAGTGGTACTCCTCCACCTCCCCCCTCAACTACGATAGCGCCCCAGTGTGCCTGAAAAATTTTATGATACCTAGAAAAGCACCACCTGAAGGGCAAACCTTCGATGTAAACGAGAACTAATGGGGAGGAGTAGTAAAGAAGTTGGGGGAGAGTTTGCACTTCACTGATCTCCTCCTATCCTTCCGCTCTATTCAAAGGGCCTTAGCAAAGCGGCAGCATAAAAGCTAACAAAATTATGGTACTGAAAAGGCCTTCGCAAGCCACTGAAGCACCTCATGATAGTAGTGCGCACAGGGTGAAGAATTAAAGGGAAGAAAGAACGGCTTTGAAACAAAACATACCTGGTTCGGACAACCAGCACATCCGGCTGCTTTCCCAGCTCCTTCGCTTCCAACTCCTGGACACCCTGCATTTGCATTCGCTGGGACATCCGCCATTGCTGATCTTCTTTGATAGTGCAGGAAAGATAAGCGCCTGAATTTTTCAGAATAGTCACTCTCCAGAAATTCAAGTCTTCGTCTCAGAAACGCTGAGAGCAGTTCTGAATTATGGATGATGCAAAAATTCGAAAGAACTGGAAAAAAGCTTTTGATACGGGAAAACTTGGGCGTGAAGTAGGTTGTTGCGTCTTCACACCACTCAAGTACGCGTACAGTAACCATAATTTAAACCCCTCTGTTTTGTAGGCTTTTGACTCTTTTCTACTTTTTCTTTTTTGAATGTATCCGTTCAGCACTATAAGGACACTTTATTCACTGAAATTTATTTCGTATTGTATGAGGGCCTGTTAGAACCTTTTGCGGATCTGTTGCGCACGATTGCTCTTTTTTTGGTCCCGAGAGATGCTGTTCGCAGATTTGCAGATTTCTGAAAGATCTTGTTGGTTCCTAGCAACTTTCTTACGAAGTCGGAACAATACTCATGTCGTTAATTTTAATTCCTCCAAGTCACCACAATCCTCCATGTAAATTTTACATGTTTTGTCTAAAGCGGTCACTCGACTCTCGTTAATATTTGTAGAAATCTTGAGCATATCATTAGCATTTACTTTCAGTGTTACTAGGCATGGTGGAAGACGATCCCATCACCGATGATAAGCCCAAAGAAAAGCGTTTGAAGAAGAAGAAGAAGGTTAAAAAGTCTTCACAGGTAGAAACGTCTTCCGTCCAAGAATCCTCGACAACTTCTGTCACAGATGACGAGATAAAATGTATGTGAATAGTTCCACTTGATAGTTTGATGATCTGGAAAACCTTGTCGGCTGGCCCTTCACAAGTAATTAAGTCAAAGTTTAACGAGCCGCTACGATATTGGGAATAGAACAGGTCCCGCATTCCGTTAGATATTGCTTAGAAGGTTGATCCTTTTTCCTTAACATGCCTGGTAGAAGCGTAGATGTAATCCGGGGAAGTTGTGAAGGGCAGGTTGTACAATCAAATGGTTTTTTGGGTTGAGACAGTAGAAGTCTTATTAATTGCAGCTGTACTGTTAGCGCCTATTTACCAAAACTATTTGCGTATTTTCAGATCTTCGCTATTCCGTAAGCGAACGCTATCCAGCACCACGGCAGCTGTTTCTGAAATTCGACAAGTCTAATGAGTTTTCACTCATTGTTGGAAATGTGCCAGCTTATCTGCCAAAGGTACTCGGTATTTGTCTCGTTTCCTTTCTCTCCCTCTTGAACACAATTGTTGTTTCCTTTTATGGCTCTACCAATCTTAAACTAATGACTGGTTCTACAGGGCTTCGTTGAAGGCTTCTTAAAGCAGTTTGTTCAAGTTCCCATTACTGAAGTCGTCGAGCAAAGGAGCAACGCTCTGGACGGATCTCTTAATCACGTGAGGATACTTGACTTTTCCCTACAGGAAAATTTACATCTTCGATTGACGAAGGGTGGTTCAGGGACAACTCACTTTATCAGTGCGATTTGAGGATCCTAAGGCGTCAGCATTGCGCTCTCCCAATGTCAAGAAGCGGGGCCATTTCGAGTTTGCGATTTTGTCGACCCTGAAGTACCATCAGTTCTGCAAAGTAAGAGCTACTGGTTTTGATGTTTTCTGTGGGACAGAGTGTATTGTGTGAAGTGAAATGAGGTTTCTGTTCAGATTCTGTTGCTCTCTATCGCAGATTATTCCCATCTGCTGAGGAAATACAGAAATCAGCCATGGATTTCATCCAGAAGCAAGACGAAGAGATGCAAGAGGTGTTCCTTACTTTTGCTGCTGACTTAATAACTCACATTAATGCATAACACTGAATTTACATAAATTTTTCCAGGCCAAGAAAGCGGCTAAACGCAAGTTAACAGAGCCAGATGAAGAGGGTTGGATAACCGTCACTAAAGCTGCAAAACGGGTTTGTACCTTCTGTTTCTACTGGTAGCAACTTGTTACAGAAATGATTTTCTTTATAAGGGAGCTTCTACAACATCTTCCCTAATTCTAATTAACTTGAACCGGATGCTAGGCGCAATTCGACTTAGTGGGGGCTCCAAATGGCACTACGAGCTTGTACAGTCCACCTTGTGAAGTCCTGTAACCAAAGTAGCTCTTTTGTACCATGTTGTAGCTTAACAGGAGTACCACAGTATCACCAAAGTAAGGCCGGTTGGTTGGCATGACCAACAAAAGAACTTGCGGAAGAGCAATATGCCCCTCCCATCTGCAAGCCAAACGGTAAAGAGAATATGGTTTTCGATTTCATGCTATTGCCACCTGCCTCTTACACTTTCTCAGTTACCAAGACTTTTATTCTTTCCCATTTGTTGCCGAGGTGATTGTTTCAAGCTGGTGAATCATTAGCAACGACGAGCAGCGCAGTGTACTTCAAATATACCCTTTAAAGTGGTAAACTTCAGGTTGGTAAGGTCATGAAGTTGAAGAAGGACGAAGTGCCATTCATGGGTGGGCTTAAGAAGAAGAAAAATCATGTGAGTTCATTGCATTAATAAGTCATTTAATTGTAAGAGGTTCTCTTCGTAAGGTCTCTCTGTTGGAATACTGGGGCTATTTTCAGGTCGACATCGCATTTTATTCTTTCGACAAAAAGAACACCAAGGTTAAAAGTGAGTTTATCTCTTCAGTCAGAAGCTGAGGTCCGCGTTTTTCCTCAGCGGAGTACGCTGCTTGCGCTCTTCGGGTATATGACAAGACAATCGTAGTATACCGCGTTGCTGGGCGCGGCGAACACACTCGACGGACGTGTTGTCCCACCTGACCGTTTAAGTCTGAGTGTTAAAGGAACATCAAAATTCGATGTTACCGGTCATGAGTTTTGTCTTAAATCCCACTCTAATCGACAAACAATATACATCAGCATTTGCCGCGCACACGGCACGGTACGCCGCGCGTGACATCGCGGCAAATTACTATTCTCTTGTCCATCTCATCAGGTTACCGATGTGGAACTAACCCGCAAGCTTTCTTGTATCTGGGTGGACGGAAAGAAATGGCAGTTGTAAGACAACCAAGTGCGAGCAGTGTTCTTTGTATAAGCAGTCTGTTGTACAGCAGTTTTGCAGCCGTCACCACATTAAAGCCAATTACCGCCATTATGATAAGTGCTTCCTTCCCTCCAAGTTTTTTTCTTCTTTTCAGAGCTAAATGAGCTGAGAGAAAAGTTCAATCAAGATAAGAAGAGGATAGCACTGCTGAAAAATGCAAGGAAATTCAAACCGGACTGAAACTCATTGAGAGTTTTTTATTTTGCTTCAAGCTTTGTTATGTTGTTGACTTCCTTTTGTTGTTTGCGATTTCTTGTTGTACAAATAAATTTTATTATTTGTGAGTTTTGCGTGGTTCTTGCTGTAGGACCTGAAAAAAATTTTGCGTACAGTCATTATCACTGTGAAGACGCATGCATTGAAACTGGGGTATATCATCGTGATGTGTGAAATAGCAGGTCTCAGTACAATCTCATCCAAAATTTCCTCATGTTGCACGACCACTTCTCATAACCTGCCTACCATCTTCCTGAACACCCTCTACTTCTTACCATTTTCCCAGTTTTCCAAGAATTTCCGGTTTTCCTTCAAACGCCGCCGTAGAGGGCTGGGAGAGAGGGGGTGGGGGTGGAGGTTGCTACCAAGCAACTATTACTTACAGCTTAAATAGTAGTTGCAGAGTGATTTTGCTGCATGGAAAGTAAGGAACGGGCTCAGGGAATTTGTTATCTGAAATCAAAGCGACTTCTCCCCAGCGACCGAACACCTCCCGTGATGGGATTCTTCCAAGGGTTGTACCCGGAGTGACCAGGATTACAACCCCAGGTAAATTACAAGCTGTGTATGCTTACTTCAGAACTTTAGTAACTCAAAAGGATCAACCGCCGAGAAAATAGTTAATCCGTCCAGATCTGCATGGTACCATTCGCACGACCAGGAACTATTATCAGACTTCCCTCCAAAGTACGCGCAATAATACTGCATGTTGGTAATGATACCTTCCAGTGGACATCCTATTCATCCCATCCTATTCACTTCGTCCACGGGATTAGACGCAGGCAGCATTCGCACTAGGACCCAACCCACTCAACGTAGCAGTGGTGCAGCACGTCAATTCTACCCACTTTCTCCTCGTTCTCAAGCCGACTAGCTCCTTCTCTATCTCTATGGCTGTCTAGTCAACTAGCTGGGAAATACTGTGCTAGAGCACGCAAAGCTCACTGGAAAGTAACGTTCCACACCCGCTTTTCCTAGCCTGAGCCTGGGTTAGGAAGTTATCATCACTTCAGTGAAAGGAAAAGCGAAGACGAGCTAAGTCGCCGTGGTCACTCTACTACTCTCAAAGTGGAGCCTCCTTCAACCGCGGTAGCTCCAACTGGCTACCGTGATTTCATAGTCGTTCGAAAAACAAGTACGGTCCTATCGCAACTAGTTGCAGCTATGAACGCTGGGGCATTTTCTGTCGCT